TTCCAGAGAGTTTCATTGTCGTGTCATACAATTGTCTCATGTTTCCTTCTCTTGCAGCCTTTTCCGCCGTCGTTGCTAAATCTTCCACATATTTACGTTTGTCGGTTTTGATGCTCCGCCTGGAGTTCCTCCGGGGGCTACTGCCGGTCCCAAGCCCGGATAAAGGAGGAGGGTTGAGCATGGGGTTAGCGTCACCATCCCGTAGAAAACTAACTCGCTAAAAAAACGCTAACCAGAAAAAAAAGTAATTATTGGTTGAACCAAATAATAACTTTGATTTTCATTCATCGTTTGGATCATAAAAAATATCTTGAACGCTAAACATACAGATAGACATAAACATACAATTCTTAGTTTACTTTGATTGTTTCAACTTACATTAATAATCGTAACTATCGATTCAATTGAATTAATGACTAACCTATTTATTTAATTATTTTTCCAGTTAAGTTTTATATTAGAGATTTTATTTATCATAATTATCTAACAAACAAAGTTACAGTTAATTTTAACGTCATATTTGTCTGTATTTGATGTAAAAATGTCAATGAGTAAAATCTGTATTCGACATTAGTAACACACTTAAAATGAATCTAGTTAATTAATTAATAATTGTTTTGAATACTTATGATCAACCTAGATAGTAAAATAGAAATCAATGTAATATTTGTCTACTGATTGAGTAGAGCTAAAGCTCTTATCTAACAAAATATTTCATTATTTATATACTTCTATTGTACATTATCCATCTTAGATTTTATTTCTTCTTGTCCGATTGCATTCGACAGCTCAGGTCATATATATATATATACTTAACAATAAATAATGTATATTGATAATATAAACACAAGGTAAGTCCATTTTTTTCCAAGTCTTGACTGGAAATAACAGACTAAAAATGGCTGTGTTATACTCTATTAAAAGTTCGACAATTTCCTGGTTATCATTCACATCTTTGTTCATAGGTGTTTTAGTGTGCCCAAATAAAGGTACATGGAAAAACTAACATATGGAGTAGTATGGAGTTGTGAAAATTGTTGAATTTTTGATTGAGATCATGAATCAATCACTATTGAAAATCTGGAAGCACTGGATGGCCATTTTGTCTTAGTATGAGACTACTTGGTATTGGTTGGAATTAGACATTAACACCTTCTCAATGGTCCAAAGGTTAGGCATTCGTGAGAGAGACCAAAGGACCTGGGTTTGAATCGTGTGTGAGGGGTCGTGGATGTGAACTGCTGAGGAGTCTCATACCAGGACGAAACAATCGTCTACTGCTTCCAGGTGTTTAATGATTGGTTAGCTTAGACTGACTCGTGGTTTCAATTGTGAAGGTACTAAAATCCTCATAAATCCCCATTATTCGGAATAAGTCGATTTCACTAGGAATGATTCAAGCATTTAGGCTTATGAAAGTTAAATATATATTAACTGCACATTGATACAATTTATTCGCTTTTATTGAATGTGTTTGGTGTTCAACAATTAGATCGTAGTTTGAGATCTGTTTTTCATGCATTAACTTGTGGTGCTGGGTAGCACCAATAGTGTTCATATAAAAACGTCTTAAACAAAACTGATTGCGGAAATATGTAATTGTACGGAGCTGTACGATCTACCATCATCCATTTATGAAACATTCCATAAAAGATAGTCCCGGAAACATTAGTCTTCTTGTTTTATAACTTTTGATAAACGTTTCTCATGGTGAAAATGAATCTAATATTATAACCAAATCTTATTGTAAATGTGTCAATATATTTGTCACTATCAAAGAAGTTCCTTCTCAGTACTATTACTTAGTTTCACACTTGCTTATTATGTAAAATAGATACTTTTTCCTTCATCTTATAAGTTTATTAACACTATGGTTCCGCCTTAATATTACATGTACTTGGATAAATCTTCTTGCTTAATTATATAATTAAATTAATTCCTTCATACTGGCAACGGTAAACTGAAAAGCCTTTGGAATTTCTGACAAATTTTATATCCATTGAACAACTTATTAGCTGTCGCAACTCCGCAGCCCAATGAATTTAAACTAATGACTACTTAATCTGAACCTTAATGTTAACACTATCTCTTGAATACAGTTGATGAATCTAAGTCAGAATGAAATGAGTATCCTGAATCCCACTGCTAACGAATGATAAACCGAATTTATTAACTGACATAATCTAATGATTAATGTATTAAGAATAGCTGATATGGTATCTATTTCTTTTTTTCCTATTAAATATCTTGAACTTTCTTCTCTTCATAATTAATAAATTTAACCGATTCAGTAAATTCTAGAACTTTATTTCATTTCCAGTTTCTCTACTTTATTTGCATATTTCTTACCATTTATTGCATATACTTTCGTGATACAAATAAGAAATAATAAATTTATCAATATTTCTTGAGTCAACTCAAAGCACCTAGTGACCTACATCTATAAATTAAAAATACTAGTTTTGATTTAGCTGAAGAAGGAGAAAGAAGAGAAAATTGAAACATCACTTTTCCGAAATATATTTTAATTAGTCCAACTATATTGTAGTGAACATAACACGGGTGGGGACAATCGAATGTATTTGACACAGACTTACAGGATTTGTTAATAAAATCTAACAATCATATAGTAAATGCTTCATTTGCAAAATCTCCATTAATTGTCCCAAAATGGCTCAGACTTCATTGTTCTTGCATTTTCATACAAATTGCACTTTGTTTCCATTCTTTACAGTTCGATCCTCTTGTCTCTTTGCTACCAGACCTTCTGTCCACGACTAACATCATATACTACTTATGTCAATATAAGTAGCACACATAACAATATATGTTGGTTAGAATAATAAAAAGTAGTTATTAAAACCATGACGGCGTCTATAGTGATCAAGATGAAAAGTAGGTTTATTTTGGATTTACATGTTGACAATCAGTAGAATTTAAACAATATATAAATATTCAATAATATCATGGTCGGTTTATTGATGTTTCAGAATGCACAAAATCTTCCTACAAACAGAAACGAATCAATTTTCTGTGAATAATAATAAACACATGAAGAAAAGAACTTTCGTCGATAACTATAGTACTAGACAAGAACTTGAATGATTGATTGAGTGGATAGTATTAGGATGCCGGAATGAACGTAGTGTTTTTTGCGTCTTATAAGTTACTGTTACTAAAAGATAGTGAATAAATTGATATATAAGGTGATGCAAGGCTCTTGCGACCAACCATAATTAAGAAATGAGAAGTGTTCAGAATTCGGTCAACTTATTGTGGAAGAAATGGTTTAAACAGTATCGTTCAGTTGTCCAGAAAAAGTCACGATATACTCAATGTCCGAACCCGAAGAAATCGATAGCTGATGACAGTTGTCATAAGTGCTGACCCAGAACGCTGAATAATCCTACGAGAAACTAATGGGTTAGCAGATAAGCATAATATTAAAGTCAAAGACCTTATTGACAGTGTTGATACACCTAAGCGTCAGTTGCTGAATATTAAAGTCGAAATGATAACCAATCGACTCGACTGACTCATTAGGATTGTAAAGTTGGGGATAGGAAATAAAAAGATCAGCCTTCTTGTTCTAAATTTTCTGCAAAGTAGGATAGTTCGACAGTGATGATTAAGAACAAAGGACTTTGTGGAGGCTTCGGACGGAGTAATAATCATGACCCATAAGGAGAAATCAACTGATAATATTTCAGTTATACTTTCAACAACTGGAATCAGTCAGATCACAGACTGGCAATTTGTTTTTCAATTACCGGTCACGAAACATTAATTGTTTATAAGCATGACTTTGTTTCCACTAACTCATTAGTTGTGTTCCTTAATTGCTATGTCCAGTGTTTGTATGAGTCATTTTTTCTGATAGGCTACAGTGGTTCATGTTATCACACTAATTGTATTATTTTATATTTTGGAAACAGGTAAAGTTTGATCAACGAAGTAGTTTATTTGTTCTGTTCGTAGCTACGCAACAACTCTTTCAAACAGGCGTCATTAACATACAGCGTGACACCGATATCATATGTCCCGAGCTGTCTTACCGCACAAGCACTATGAAATGAATTGCACAATAGACCCTGTGCTAAACATATTCATTTTTTGATTTGTATACTTGTAACTGTTATACCTTGTTTATCACAATCAACAGTATTTGTGTTCATTAAAAGTGATCGACTTTATTAACGGCAACAGGTTACGGTTTTCGAAACTCCCTCTCAAAGTAAGTCATCAGTTAACGCACGGTTACTGCTTAGAAAGTTGATTTATGGACATTTTTCGACTTTTGTTAGATGTATTGATAATATCTTGAAACCATTATAAAATAATGAGTAACTCATTACTTCGTAGTGTGCCATCACTTCGTAATCCAAACAATTACTGTCTTTTAAAAAATATTAATACTAGTTTTAATAGTAAAAGTGAAATTTGATATTTATCATTTTTAATTGAGATCATGAATCGACCAACGTTATACCACCATTGAAAACCTGTAATGATTGGACGGCTGGTTGGTCCTAGTATGTGACTCCTTAGCAGTGTGCATTCACGACTTCACACGTGAGATTCAAACCCAAGTCCTTTGGTCTCTCGTGGGAACGCCTAACCTCTAGACCACTGAGTCAGCATGCAACAGCGTTAATGTTTCATTTTAATCAATTCATGATCTTGTGCAACCTTTTATCTATTTTTCTGAGGTGGATAACTGTCATGCACCCAACAAGGATTGAAGTTCACTAGTCACAGCTTTTCACTACAACTCCAAGAGGTGCATCTTGAAGCTATTGAGTAGATGGTTTTTATTACTACGAGGACTATATCCTATACATTCGATATTAGTAAATTATGCACTCTCAGTAAGATCTATCAGGATATCAAAACGAACAATAAATGCAATTTAATTTTATACCCTTTAGGAAAATACTAATGATATACTGAATAACTTTCCAACTCCAAATTGATTGAGTGAGAATTATAACTTAAGGGCCTTTATAATTAATCTAAATTTTACATTCACAAACTAACTAAAATGAATAGATACACAAACGAATAAAATTATACTTCATATTAAAGTGAGTTTCTTGTAATTTATTTTTACAAACTTTAGTTATAATAATAATAATAATAATAATAAATTCAGAAGAATTATACCGGGTTGCCAATGTATACAAAATGAAGCCAAACTCATTGTAAAAGGAAGGATAGGTCTTCTTTTTTTATAAAAAAAATGTTTAATTAAATTAAAAACAAGAGTGATACACAGTTTACTTTGGATAGATTAGTTACTTTTCTGTTTAGTTGTTTATATTTCTCTTTCCCCCTCCTTTTTTCTTTCTTTCTTTCTCTCTCTCTCTCACAATAAGAAACATATAAATAACTATTAATTAAATGTAGAATTAAGAATCATCTTATATAAATGAGTATACATTATTAAAGAGGTATATTCAATTCAAAGAAGAAATAACCGATCCATTATAAACCATGATCATGTCATGGAAATATTTGAAAGGAATTACAAACAAATTTATTGCCTTCAGAAATAGGGAGAAAAAAAATCAATTTATTCAGAAAGTATTCAAGGGGGCTCCCAAATATGACCAAATATATCAGGTAGACTATGAGGTTTATCCAAAATCCATGGTTCATCTGAAATAATTTACATACATATAAAATAGTAATAATGAGAAAATATTATTAATATAAAACTACAAAATTTGGATATGAGATGATTTATAATCTTATCTAACTTCTTTTATGATAAATTATTTTATACAAAAATTAAGTTCTGCTTAAGTATGTATGTTGAATTCATGAAACAATTAAAGCTAGAATACCATGGAAAACCTGGAATTGCTGGGTGGCCGTTTCGTTCTAGTATGGGACTCCTCAGAAGTGTGCATCTACGATCCCATCTCGTGGGATTCGAACCCAGGACTTATCGGTTTCGCGTACGAACACTTAACCTCTAGACCACTGAGCCTGAATCCAGCTGTGTTAATGTCTAACTTCAGCTAATCCACGACTCATGAAGTGAACTATAAAATGACTAAAATATCCACAAAACCCTTTCTGATAATAGTCAATAGTTTTTATAGATTACCATTCTATTATGGAACTATATCAGGATTTCAAGTATAAACGTATAGCTATGGTAACTTGAATTAAAGTTATCATCTTTATGATAAATGTTTCTCGTATATTACACCATGGTTAATATTTAAGGCTGTAGTTTGACTAGACTTTGGATATGTGTATCCTGAACAGATTCCTTAATATGGCCCATATGCTACAAGTCCTAGTATATTTAGAAACCAGCTACATTGAGCTGACGATTTTTAGATAAAACAAAACATGTGCTCACAATTCCATTGTTAGCCAACATTCGAATACAAAAATAGTTACCTTGAATAATAATGATTTGATCATCTATAAATAAAATGTTCGATCTTCAAAACGATTCAAGTTTTCATTTATCAACTAGTAGGCAAACTATTCAATATGGATACGATTAATAGTTTACGCACAAGTGCTTTCTTAATGACAGTTAACCAATGAAAATAATAGAAAACTTTATTATATCAGTTAACATCAAAATAAATGCTATTCTACTTTTACATGACCTGGATGATGGTTATATTTTCCAAAAAGAAAAAAGAAATGCTAAGAAAACATTACACTATTAAAATCATTCAGCCAAATAGCAAATCCTTCCAATCACTAAACAAATTATTTAGTGGTGTAGATATATTCACGCTTTGTGTTCCCTTAGATCGGAAGTTCTTTATAAAACTCTTTTTATCTATCTAATTTATATTTTCTTCTTGAGTTGTATCTTCAATGTCTAATTTCTCATATTACCACTAATACGGTTACTACCTCTAGTACTCTGGGATTTTTCCTGACAATTTAAATGAGTTGTGTTAATGAGGTGTGAAAATTTGAGTTGATGCACACAGGTACAAGGTTTAACGTTGTGTATCTCTAACTATCTGGTTGAATGAACGGACGAAAAATTAATAATAATCGTCTAAAATTTAGTACAAGGATATATTGAATGTTTTATGGATAGTCTTGTATAGACTTAATAATTTTATGAATAATTTTGATCATGGCAGTGTTAAGGAAAGTTGATCAGTCTCCCCACAACAAAATTACCTAGTTAATAGACATTATTTGCAAGAACTAGTATGTTATGAAGAAAAAAACACAAAGAAAATGCAGTGTGAAAAATGAAATGAAAGTCAGACATGAAAGGCATTGGATGTTCATTATTTGCAATATATCACTTGTGACAACAAAAATGATGATATACATGTATAATTTCTTACCGTTTGATTGATATTTCACTGGAGGTAATTCATATGGAATAGGAAAGGGTAATAATCCATCAGTTGATGGTTGAGAATAGTTTGCATTGTTTTTTAAAACTTCAAATGAATGGGCTGATTCCTGGTTTTAGAAAAATAATTAATAAAGGTTGAACTTACAGTATACTGCCGAATAACTCAGAAATCTCGACATACTTTAAACAATCACGAAACTGTAAGTATAAGTAATTTACAATTTCAAAAAAATGGGAGAATTTACCGAGAATATATTGATTTTACAACAAATAAAGACATTTTCTAAGCTGGTCATAGGTTCATAGTTCCTAAACTCTAGAGTGAGGGTCGAAATCTAAAGTTAGCTTATATACAACAAAACTATTAACCTTAGCCTTAGCACTCTATCCATAACATCCTAGCACTACATGTAACATCCTAAATAATATATACACATAAGAGTATCTCCTTGAAAATTTCCGCATTTTCATGAGCAACTAATAACATTCTTTTTATTCGAAATCATCACATTGAGATTCACTATCCAATTCATATTCCTCTATTATTAGCTAAATGACACGCTTGAATGCTTGGTGTCGTAACCATGAAGTGATTTACTTATTCTTGATTGGTTCAGCAGTATTCTTTATGTTTACCAAAGTAATTAAATCAATTGACAAGTAATGGATAATAATGAATTCATAGTCGTTCGTCTGGTTGCACACAAATACAAAAAACATACGTTATAATGTGATTATAACAAAAAACGTTTAACTAGAATAAACACTAGATATTAAAGATGAATCTTGATGTCAAATGAAATTCGGTAGGCATACGCTAGTTATGTCCATGAAGTTTGAGTTACTTCAATAATGAGTAAGTAATATTCCACACGAGATTATCTCAAATTATCTCAACAAGCACAACACTTCAGCTAGTGTTATCTCGGTATGATCAACCACCTTGGAGACAAATCACCAAGTTCCCTGACTTGATTTGAAATCTGTCCACTCTGAAAAAAACATTTCACTCACAAATAGAATTAAACAACAACAAAGTAAGACAATAACATTCATATCTTATTTTAACAGATATCAGTATCAACTCCCTAATCTCTTTGAATTGAACCGGTAACGTTTTAATGTTAGTATAATAATTAGAATGATAAAATTAAGAGATTATAATGTTAACTATGTTAGATGATATCTAGGCTAATAGAAACGACCTTCACATTTTTCATATTGATATTATGTAACAAATGCGGTTCCACAAAAGTAAATATGAGCAGAACAATAAATTAATACCTTTCAATAAAAGTACTGTGATGTGTGTTATTTATTTTTGCAGATATAAGTAATATGTAACACTAGCTGGAAGTGGAATGTCTGTGAACAGAAGGTTGAGAAGATTCAACTGAAGAATAGAGTGAAGGAAACTGATAGCAATTAAGATAACAAAAGGAATGACGGGACAATGAATCTTGTAAGAGACAATTCAAAGATGTATAAATGATATATGATTTTCACACTTAACTAAATCACTATATGATTGTGAGTTAAACAAAAAATTGATCTTCCCCATCTGCGCGTCCGTTCACTACAGAACTACTACTTATCAGGAAAATCATGGAACAAATGGGATACAAAACGATTCATCAATTACAATCATCGATAAACATTTTGAAACAGACAAAACAGAAAAGATTAAATCTTATAAAATCGAAATCATTGAATAGAATGATAGAAAAAGTATAATTGAATGTCAAAAATTAAAATCAGAATATTAGATAACCGGGCAGAGTATGCTGAACATTATGATTGTACAGTAAATCACTGAACTTTTAATACAAATGAGTTAATTGATTCTTTTTATTGAAAAGTAAAACATTATCGGTATTTTATCAATAAATTGACTTCATAAAATAAATCAGGATCTCTTTTAAATAACAAAATATTTCATGACAAGATCTCTTCTCTATACTTATTTTAATGCATATTTATGGGCAATTTTGAATTGATCAATTAACTTAAATGAATGTAAACTACCTTAAATAAATAGTTTCCACTTGTGAATTGATTATTCAATTCACGTTTACCATAACTTTTATTTTACAGTATGAGAGTACATAAAAGAGAAGGCTATGCCAGGGAAGTCCTATTCGCTGCCTTCTCGTGGCGGTGTTGTTTATGAAATTGACACAACGAAAAGCAAATGTCTGGTGCTTCAACCTGATCGGTTAATAAGGAGCATTTATCTAGGGGAAATGGGAAACCCTGATTCCAAACCAGTGGTGCACATAGGCTCCAGGATCATGAAGGGACAAATGGCGTATGAACCTGTTGTTCGTCACCGGCTACCATTGAACTGCATTTCCTAACGTTGCTCCACTGCTTTGTGGATTAAACCTCTAGGTTAAGGGCTTCGAGAGTGGCCCCTAAAAAGCCCACTTGCTTCGAGTTGAGCCCCGGAAAGTATTCCAACTCCTACACAAATGACGAAGTATGGCGCATATATATTTGGTACCTCCTCGCATCAATGCTTATGCGTTTAAATAAATAAATAGTAAACAAGAACAAGCTAAATACAAGTGAATAATAAACATTTGCTTTATCCGATTAGAACATGTAATTTAGTCAGCAACTATTATGGTTCGTGAAATTTTTACAAAATTAAATTTCATTTTAATTCGAAATTTTTATTACACCTCAGGAAAAACACAGTATACAAAAAGCTGAAACACTTCGATGAATAACACTTGCAAATAAAGTTTAAACACTGAATCTCAGTAACAACTACTTCAGACTTATTCAAAAGATCAACTTAACAATTTTCGGTTGGCACAGTAGCAAGAATATGTCCTATTTACTTTACGAGGTACACTTCTCAGATTCGCAAGATTCACTGCTACAGAACACACATCCTTTAAACTTAATAATACACATTTATTTTTTATTTTTAGCAATGTACAATAATATCCTAACCGTAACCGAGAACAACTATGTAATTCTCGACAAAATACAATTCTATCAAGTGAATACAAAACAGAAAAAATCTAAAGTTAAATTTGACATTCATGTTAGAATAAAAGCTCAAATCAAAACGTCATCTCATGTTATTTCCTGTTTATCTCCAGAAAACAATGACAAACTTTAAGCAGATATGTAGATGAAATTGTCAACTATGTGTATATATGTAAACAAGATATTACAAATAAATAATAATTACTCGATAGTTTCATTCAACAGTATTTATCTTTTTGGTCCAAATTGAAAATGCTTATTATTCGGTTTATCAATTTCCCCCCCTACGAATCACAAAAGCTAACTCATAAAATCGTATAACTCATAGCTTAAAAAAAAACAAAAAGGGAAAAAAACACCAACCTTATAATTGGTTGGCAAAAACAGCACACCCAGTTCATATGAACGAATCATCAATTGAGTTTTTATATTTTCATATGCACCCCAAGCAGCTTTTGAAAGATTCGCACTATCAAATGTAAAGCGAAAAAAATTGAGCGCCAAAAATTAAAATCGATTTGTTTAATTGATACATCATGTTGAATTTAGATTAGTGAAGTCTACTTTAGACAAAATGCTTTTTGTAGTCAAAAGTAAATAAAAAAATATCATTTTTATTTAAAATAACGTCAATGGATTGAATGAAGAGAAGATTGTTTTCAATTAGTTACACAGAATGGATTTACACCAATATACAGGTATTGCAATAAGTAATACCGATTGACCAACTGTTGTACAACTAGGTAAGTGAATCATACGGTTAATCACTACTTACCACGACAGGTAATGTTTGCTGATACAGGAGTAGGTTGAAAGTAGGGTAGTGAACAGACAAACTAGGACATAGCATCAGTCCATAAAGTTATTGACTGTTGGTTATAGCTATGTTGGCAAATGCTGACTACATGTTTGGAGTCCATACAATAACCACGGCGAATGGTTAGAGACTTTGGATGGAATTACTCATCCACGCTGGCACAGATGTATTAACTCTTTACTCCCCTTCGCAATATTGAATATCTTCGTATACAGTTTACTACTATGTATTTTCAAACTACATGGCCAATAAAATCAAAGATGGATAGTGGCTAGCAGTGGAATGCCAATAACAGACTGATCAATTGCAATCTTAAACCTCAATAAGAAGATACAAGCAAAACAATACCAAGTGAATTTTAAATTCACCCCATTTTACAAGCAAGTGGCTATCAGGACTCAGTAGCTGAGTGGATAACGCTATGACGTTGGAAGCGAATGGCACTGGGTTCGAGTCCCAGAGTGAACATCAACTCTGAGATGCAAATACACTCAGCTGACGAGCCCCAAATAAGACGAAACGCGCGTCCTGGATTCCAGTGCTAGCCACTATCCATCTTTGCTTATCAAAGCTTGTGAATTAAGGCAATATCGAGGCATACGCACAGTATGCACATATGCCAATAACAGACTGATCAATTGCAGTCCTAAACCTCAATGGGAAGATTCAAGCAAAACAATACCAAGTGAATTTACATGGCCAATGCTGTTACTACGTGATTTGGATCCCGTCATCTACTCATACACTTTTCATCTCATCGTGCTAATGTAGTATCCAAACTTGGGCCAAAGTCCTTGTTTGCTAGGCTCTAAATTGATTGTGACTTACTGAGGTAAAGGTCACTTCTATTTGTCATATTTCTGAGCATTAAGCAGTGTGGGTTAGTAAAGATCAACGTAAGTTAATAATATCATCGATTGTACGACATTTATTAGATACAGAACAATTCGTCTCTGACTCAGACTTTGAGATCATTTATATTAGGTTTGAAGCGGTTACGAGTTCACTTAGACTGCGAACGGAACAAAGACTTGTGACCAAAGACCAATAAACTAGCTATTCTATTGCGTCTCAGCCCCGCTAACTAGAGGAAGAAGTCAAAGTCCGAACGGGGAAGTATATTCCTCAAAAAGCCAGAAGCACAAGCGATAACAATAGACAAAAATCAAAACGTATATATACAGCACAAAACCGTCCTTGGGAAGCGTTACGAAATAGCATACTAAAAGACACAACGGACCAATAGCGTTTAAGATTCTCCTAAGTGGGAAATACGACATGAAGGTGAAAAGAGCGCTTTTGGAGTGAAAACAAAGAAATTCAAATTTCTAAATAAAATTACAAAATTAGGTCCTTTTCCAAGTGAGTTCTGAGAATTTAACGTCCCCAACAACTAACAAAATTCAATTAAATATGTCACGAGATGAAGGCCTTAACCTACTTTATACTGCGGAAACTTTGGACGTGCAAAATCTAAAACCCAAGTTGAGCAGACAAAAAAACAATTTTTTATATTTCTCTCTTTACAATAGCCTTAGCTTGTAATTTCAATTTATCTATGTAACTGTTCTCTTCTTTATTTATTTTGTCATTGCTAAGTTTGTAAAAAGAAAATTTTAATTAATTTTTTTACTCTCTTTTATTATCAATAAAAACGTTGTTTCTACTCAGATTACTTAGTTACTATTTATACATTTCTTTCATTTCAACTTGACGATACTCATAGTAACAGATATTTGTTTATTCAAAATTATGTTGTCAAATTTCACAAAACAACTAACCAAATTCTAAAAAAAAACAAAAAAAATTATTTGTTGACATATACTTTATCACAACAGTTGAGATCATGAGTCAATTAAAGCTAGAATACCATGGGAAACCTGGAACCACTGGACTGCCGTTTCGTCCTATTGTGGGACTCTTCAGCAGTGCGCAACCACGATCCTGCCTCGCGGGATTCGAACCCAGTACCTATCAGTCTCGTGCCAGGCGCTTAACCAACTAGACCACTGAAACGATCGACATCCAACAGTGTTAATGTCTAACTCCAACTAATCCACGAAATTGAGCGACGCATCCACCACTGTCATTAGTGAATTACTATCTCACAACTAACGCGGTTGAAGTTCACTGGTCACTGCTTCCACTAGAACTCCATGTTATACCTCTTGAAGCCAGTTACTAGTGAGCATATGTTGATTAGTGTCAGGAGGGGTTTTGTGGAGACCATGGACCACTATGCTGGTCTACCTTCAATCGATTCATGATCTGTTTAAATTACTACAATCTCCACAAACTCCTTCTGATATAATTTATCGTATAAGTATACGATTATATGACTTTGATAATAAACTTATTGTAAAAGATTCTTCCATTGAATACATTGTTTTATAAAATAAATAATATTTTCATTGTTTAAATTATATGAATTGATTTTAGTTAGATTATAGTTAAAACCTGGAAACAATGAACGGTCATGTTGTCTTAGTATGGAACTTCACAACAGTGAGCAGTACGAGTAAATTTAAAAGTATTCATAAAAATAATATTGTAATAAAAAGTGATTCAGTAAATTTAAGAGAATAGAATATTAAAGTTTATCGATGAAATAAATTAGAACAGATTAGCAATAGGTGACGTATTAACTAATAAAAATAGAACTGTACAATTCAAAACAATTTATAAAGTTTAATGAGACTAGAGAAGATGAAAAGTGACAATTAGGCGTAGAGAGTCACTTTTATATCTCTTGACTACTTCTGTATAAATCATTTGATTAGGTAAATAATCAGAATAAAGATAACATGAGGAAATAGTTTTGATGCAAAAGCTATGATTTTTTTATACAATTTCCTTTATGTTCAAGGTTGAAAGTTCTGATTGCCATTATATGTCTATTGATAAATCATAAAGGATAATAGTAGGAAATGTAAGAATCAACATTTTCTAGTTTGTATGCCTAGTTTAGTTAGCATTACCTACTTACTAATACTCAATACCTAAATACAAATAGAATCCTGAAATTAGTTTTTTTTTATCAAGTCATACTAATAATCACTGCCATAAAAAGTGAATATAATTTACAAGAAATTTGACAGAGATTACTCGATCAATTCATAATCGATGTCATATTCATTGACAACAAAATTTAAACTTTTTGATCCAGGTTTTGAGAATGTGTACCTGTCTATTTAGCAAAGTAAACAAGTTTCAATGTGAGGAGTAAACTATCATAATATTTTCAAAATAAATAGTGCAGATATGATTGTTTATCATATAGGATGTTTAACAGTTGTCTTCTGTTAACTATTTTTTTTTGGAATGATTCTGCTACGAAAAATCTACTGTAAATAGGTAATAGAACAAAGAACAATAAAGAGACATGCGTATCAGGAGTAAAATAATTATTCTATATGAAAATGAACATAATATATGGTTGATCGGTTATATTGTATGGACAGCACAATTGATATATATATTTGTATACCTTAAACATTAATCTATTCTAATGAATAATGAGTTGAAAATCATATTTCACTTAGAAAAAGAGCAGAATTATTTCCAAATCATAGTTTACGAATTAATCTCTTGAAGTAACTAAAAGTTTTATGAGATATAGTAAAAACTTCAATTAAAGAAATTGTACGTTAACGTTAAGTCACTAATTTTCTTCAAATATTTGTAATAGATTGTATTCTAGAATTTGTTAATGTGTTGGTGAGAGATTTCATAGCAGATGGTATCTTTATCAAGAAATGTAACACTTGGAGGTAAAGAAGTTAGACACCATTGGATGCCGGTTCAATGGTCTCGATGTCAAGCGGTCGCGCGCGAGACAGAAGATCCTGAGTTCGGATGCCATGTGGAGGAACGTGAATGTACATTGTTGAGGAGTCCCATACTACGACAAAACAACTGTTCAGTGCTTCCAGGTTTTCAATGGTGGTTTAGCATTGATAGGTTCATGATTTCAATGAGATAAAGAAATATAGCCCACCGAATCGATAATTTAATTTTTTTTAATTTTTAGAAATACAAACATTTATTACAAAAAACCTTGTGTTTAGTAGGTCAGATCATAGTGTTAAACTTTCAAACAATTAATTTATATTCATTGAAATTACTTACCTAGTCAGAAGAAACCATCCTATCTGTTGACCATCTGGTGATATCCTAGTGTATGACTTAATGTGAGGAGCACATCGACTATGTTCAAAAGCATGCCAGCGATAAAAAAACTGACAAAGCCATGGTTGTTTTTTAGCTGTTCTCTTTGTATATGGTAAACATCCACCGGCAAAATAACCTTCCAAACTATTACGAACATCTTCAACACACGGATAAATCTGCAGTTGTATACCATAACAGGGAGAAATTAAATAGCGCATATCGTAGAAAGAAACAGAACTATATATCTACTTTAAAATCTTGATTATTTTTGTGTATAAAAAGTTACTGTTTAATAATATTTAAAAGCAATAATTACTTATGATCATCGAATTGTTCAAACAAATGACTGAAATTCAATTATGACCAGATAAGCATATGAGTTTAAGAAATATTCATTCCGATTTAAAAGTTGGTTAAATGACCCGTAAGTTACTGATATATAGAGTGACATGACCTTTATTCATTTAATGCTCAAATTGAAGACATGATCAAAAGAATCCAGACACTATCAAGAATTATGCAGGAGGAAACAGGAGGGCTCAAGATATGTGAATACATGCCACAGCCACAGAGTAAAACTGAGCTGGATGCATCTCAATATTTTAGCTAGCACCATAAGTGATGTATTAAGACAAAAACAAATGAACAATTGGTATCTGTGCTGACCATCGGGTTTGATATGTCAAGACCACTAGCTTGAAAATATCACCCTCTATTCCAAATCCGTTTTCCATACAAATCGGTAAAATAACATCCTATAACATTTGACAGGCCAAAAATGCATTCATATATATATCGCATAATATTTAGGACCCAAATGACTAGGGACTCATAGTCATTAGATTTCATTACAATTCCGAAATATTTTAAGTCGATAATTATCGTGGTTATACCGCACATATTAACCATAAGGTTATTGAAGAAACATGATAAAAACGTTTGTGCTGTAACTTTAAGAAAAAAAGGACTAAGAGAGTAGAATCAAATCTTTAATACAAAAAGTATGCTAAAATAGTGATCATACTCACCATTCGTAAGCCTCTAGCACCTCTACCGGCTAAACTTGATGACCACTCAGTGGTAAACCAATCCGTAGGTTTAAGACCTAAAGAACCAATGCTTGAAAACTGGCCAATCACTGGCCAAGACGAAGGTATTTGACTATTACATGTGTGTAATACCTAGTGTGAAAGAAAAAAAAGGTACCGAGACCACAGTGTTTATTAGTACAAAGAAATATTCATTGACCACAGTTTTATGTTTGTTAGAACAACATAGAAATTGCTAATTACGAACTTATTTGGCGGTGCATAACATCATTTTATGCTCAGGAATCATTTAATATCGTTAGGGTAAACAATTAAAGTTAGTGGATAGAAGAAAAAAACATGGTACTTAACTTTGATACTATAGCGACTGCATCGAATTCGAATAGTTTAGCAAACATACTGATGATCAAACAGCACTGAAAAAACTACATTCCAACTAAATAAAATGATCATGCTTTATAGAGGCAATGTATTGAACGATTTGCAATGCCTAGTTAAATCATACTTATTATCGATGTAACAAGTGACAAGTAGGAATCGATAACTAATGAAAATATCTACTTCACTAGAGGGATTGATAAATATTAACTTCATACTTTCATATTTATACCAAACTCATTACAAATATAGCGATCATACCTCTCCTAAACGTGTATGACCAAATTTGTTTAGTGACTCGCCGACATGTCTTCCGGAGACTGACGCAATTAATACAACCCTTTGAAAAACAAACAAAAAAAGACGCAGAAGATAAAGCATTTTGCACAACAAACGTCGATGATACTATTTTTCCCTGCAAACTACTGGTTACTACTATAATTCATTATATACTTTAATTATTTTGTTGGTTTAGCTTTTTAGAAACTTCTAAACTAGTTAGTTCATTTACCACAAACTGTAATAACTATTCTCAGTTGAAGGAGTTATCAGTACATTCAATGAGTGCAATGACTACTGTTGAGAAAGATCTTATTTTTCGAATAGTCCAGAAGAATTAGTTGAATAAACAATTTTTGGATGGACATTTTGAAAGTATGCGGAAACTCAATAATGACATTAGCAACGTAGAGCCTGGTAATATGTCATTAAAAGAGTAGCTGATGAAAGCCCTTTAGAAACTAAATTACAGAGATACCATGTAGATTGAAATACACATCAAAAATTACCTGTCATAAATTATAATACCTGCAAGGAATACAAACTACAACTTAGTTCTTCGTTTTATGCTTTGTCACTTATTCGTGATGAGACTTCACAAAATATCTTCCTTTATTTTAACGAATAAGAACTAACAGTGGATACAAACGGGAAAAAATATCAATCAAACAACGTAGCGTTAATCCAAATAATAATGATATACAGTATGAGAGAGCACAGAAACATGATTGATAAATCAGTCATTATGATATCTTTAGTAATAACAGCTTCGTTTTCTCATAGTCCCGACTGTTCTAAAACATATTTGTACAAGGAACGTCTATCAGGTAAAGATTCCACAAGATTTCATTTACAGATGAGTCCATTTAGTTATATATAGATAAAATCAACTGATTGTCAGTTCGAAAAATTAGCACATCAAATTAAAAATAACTGAGAATACAATAAAGTTCGTTGAGAATCAAAGGATAAAGTCCATATTGAATTAATAAGAAAATTAACTGAATGAAGATCAGGGTACATTAAGTACCTATTTTTCACTGTTCACTGTATGTTCAGTAATAAGAATTTTGAAGCATTTCCCTCTTCATTCAGTGAGTGAGTGCTGCATATAAAAGTGTAATTTCACTGAAGACTTCACTTTAAAACCTAACTTTCAATTCGCTTTTTTCATGTCATGTTAGGATGCACTACATTAGCGTACTCATAGCAGACAGATGTGGTTAAGATTCTTGAAGTGAAATCTTCAGTTAAAATTACATTCTTATTACAGCATTCACCCATTAAACGAATGGATAAATGCTCAAAGTGCTGGATACTATACATTTGTTCGACATTAGAGAACTTCACAATCACAATCCATACATAACCTTTCACATAATTTTTATATTAAATTCAGGTCATAGATTTACATATCCAACATATTAGTACTCCTTCTAGAGGTGCTGTGATTCCCTTTCGATAAGGGATACAAGCAATAGTTAATTTATAAATAAAGGACCAATGGTGTTAGCATGTTTGACATAATAACTGTGATCCATTTCAAGAAAACAACATGAAATTTCGGTTACACAGTATAAAATAAATAAATATACATGAGTCAGGCACGAAAAAGCAAATTTCACGAAACACATATACTTTTTTATTAAACTACATGTTACCAAAATACTTACTTAATTGGTCGGAAATCATAACTGTGCAAACAATTAATCCATTCAAATAAGGGTGAACTGGTTGACTGGGTTAAATCTCTCCCATATGATTTTAAGTACTCAAGTAGATCTGCACGAAAATTAGTTCTTGAATCTGTATCATTCAAGTGCTTCAGTTGTTCCGTGCTTAATAACTTTAATTTCGGGCTAATCCAAATTCTCAAAAGTAAAAAAAAGTGAATTTCAAAATCACTATGAATATAACTTAAGCATCAGGATAGTAACACCAATAGTCAGATGGTGGTTGGAGATAGTCAACAGGAAACCCTGGACCCGGGTTTCGTGCTACTTGGCACTCGTCAGCAAGGTGTACCTGTAATCTTGGGGGAACTGGCGCTCCCCGGCGGATCCGATCTCGTGTCACCCAGCTTCACAGTCAGAGACGTTACCACTGAGCTATCCGAGCCGTGACTAGCCTCCTGTAGGACTGAGATGTAATCACAAATGATTGATCAGTGGGTGGCGATCAATGTCATGCTTGTCTAGTCCTTATTAGTGCAGATCGAATGCTATTGACCATGTTGCAATGTGGCCACCAGTCCAGGTGACTCGACAATGTCGGGTTTCCTGTCGACTACCTCCAACCACCATCTAATCTCAATATATAGTGCCCGCAATATCGAGTCATCTAGACTGGTGGCCACATTGCAACATGGTCGATAGCATTCAGTCAGTCAGTCAGTCAGTAACAACGTAGAACTTCGTACGTACGTACATTAGTTCGAGTTGCCACACCACATTAGCACAGAGATGCAGTTGTCGATTCAAATCCCGTAGTGGTAGAGGTAATAAGAGTATAAGCAGTAATCGGGAAGATTAGGGTTTGGAGATGTTATTTAAAGAGTATAATACAGTGAAATAAATTTGGAAAGAGGAAAAAAGGGACATGAAGAATTCAGAAGATTAGAATTTGGGAGAACACAGAGAGTGGATGCACCTGCACCATTGCAAACCATTTTGAGCAATGTCATTCAGGGTCTCTAACCATCGGTTGCTATCATCTCGCGGTCCCCAACCAGGTAGTCTACACCTACCAACATGGCTCAGTTCAATTGTCAATGACTTCATGGACTTGTGCCATGTTTTGGTTTGACCGCCCCTAGCTTTTTTCCGACTTACTATTATACCACTGAACATAGCACGTCGAGGCAGTCGGTCGTTGGGCATACGTAACACGTGTCCCGGCCACCTCAACTGATGAAGTTTCACTACTTCATCAATTGATTTGCCATCCTTACCTAGTACCCGTTTACTAACAACTGTGTTACTTACTCGATGGTCCCATGATATACGAGCAATGTTTCGAAGACACCTATGATCAAATACTAGTAGCCTACGGATATCCTCTACTCGATAGCATTCGATCTGCACTAATAAGGACTAGACACGCACGAAATTGATCGCCACCCAGTGATCAATCAATTGTGATTACATCAACAATCATTTCAGGTATGAATATCTAATTCGAGTTTAATCAAACGAGTAATATGATTAATCTTTACATTTCGAGTGTGGCTCAAACGTGAATACCAGTTGAATAAGTGAATAGAATTTTTCTTAAAAACTAATCTTTATTTTTTTCTTAATCAAACAATAGCATAATTATTAATGTAAATGCCTGATTTGATATATCCGATGATCAAACTTAATGAAACTCTTAAACTTCTATGTCTTAACACGCTCAGAAAATTGGTTCTTATAATAAACTAGAACAAAATAATAAAAGTGCAATCAATCAGTCAATCATCTAACGAGGGATAGCGTTGTTAAATCATATTTATAATTCACAAAAAAGTAAAAGACATTATAAATTAAAATGAAGTATAGTAGCAGAAACTTAGTTATTCTGTTGAAGTTTTTCTACAAATACTTACTACAGCCAAGAACAATTCTAGTTTATGAAACATATAACGATAAATGTTGACATATTGACATTGAATACGTGGTTGATGCGGAGATATCGTTCAAAATTAAGTGTGAGGATAACCAACCTTTTCAATGTTCAATAAGAGTGCAATATCTAACATTTTCCAATCATCTAATGTGTCAGTATTACATATAAGTGTGTCATTTTCCGTGAACATGCTACCGTACTGCATTCCAACTTAGCGGACGAAAAAAAGAGATTGCTGAAGATAAATTAGCTAATAATCATGATTCAACAACCTATAAGAGATTGTATAGATCATTGAGAATAATTTTATTACATAAATGCCTTAAGTATAATCTAAAACATATTTACAGGAGTTTGCTATATAGCTAAAGGATACATCCAATATCAAAACAATTAACCATATTTTTTGTTGACTAATAAATCACTTTCTAAAATATTGTCTTACCCTTGAGTTCTTCGATCCCAATCATCTGATATCATATTCGCTGTATGAATGATAATTTTCAAACCATCTTTATATTTGAGCATCATCATTTTTCTAAAATTAAACAAGGAGAAGCTTTGAAGATAATGTTCACACTAATCATCTTGAAAAAGTGATTTCAACATGACTGGTACATGGAAAATTTATAGTATCAGAGCAACTCCCTGAGTATGAGAAGCATTTTTTTCTCCATGACCAGAGTACAATAACATATCTCCTGAATCTAATCTTTGCAATTTCAATCAGATTCAATTGGTTTCACTTGTTCCGAGGACCTTCAAGTTGTATCTCCTCATTTTCGTTGCTGATTGATTGGTACTCCAGGTCTCTCACATTGTCCGGACATTCCGTATACCTCTATTAACTGTTGCTCTGGTTGTTAGACAGAGCACCGGCCTCGTGACTTCCGAAGAATATTGGCTTTCATTATGAGGCGTCATAAGTAATCTGAATAAAGATCCTTCAACTCGGAGAGCAGAGTTTAAATTGTTTAATTTGTCTATTCTGGTTAGAGTTTTTTTCTACGGGATGGGTATGCTGACCACATGCTCAACCCTCCTCCTTTACTCGGGCTTTGGACGGGCAGTAACCCTAGAAGAGCTGCAGACGGACAAATAGTGCTTAAAGATCAACGCACATATGAATGAATGAAGTCATGGAATAGTACTGTTTATTGTCTCATGTATTAATATTTCAAAATTTGATGCTGTAAGATACCTGTTCGTCATATGTCGTGACCGGAAAATGCAGTCGATTAAAAATCCATATTGAATACTCCAGTCTCAATGAACCTGTATGATATTAATTTTTACGTCAGTTGCTTATCAGTAAAATACGTCGATAATCTATCTCTTATAAGTTATAATGTTGTGTATAACTACTTATCTGATGTATCGAGCTAGTATTGTTAAAAATACTGCCCCATTTTCCCCATATTGCTTCATTTACTTATCACAAAATAAACACATGTTACATATATTCTAATCTTCTGAATTCTTCATGTCCCTTTTTTCCTCTTTCCAAATTTATTTCACTGTATTATACTCTTTAAATAACATCTCCAAACCCTAATCTTCCCGATTACTGCTTATACTCTTATTACCTCTACCACTACGGGATTTGAATCGACAACTGCATCTCTGTGCTAATGTGGTGTGGCAACTCGAACTAATGTACGTACGTACGAAGTTCTACGTTGTTACTGACTGACTATATTGTCATTATCTTAGAAATATATAAATTGAAGTCAATATTTTTGGTATTTACAGTGACGATTCGTGCAAACTCTGTTAGGTATTCTGTATAATACTTAGATCAATCAACTGCACACGTGTCAGTCACACTATGAGATAACCAATCTCTACTACAACTGAAAATATGTGACCAGACCACCTCGTTGCAAATATGGTATCGTCACTTAATGTAAACAACACTATGATAACAACAGTGAAGAAACAGAGAGAACTGTACGCAATGAGATATTTATTATACGGCAGCTTGATGTCATGGAAGTGTCAAAGGTGGACCACTTTCAATTAAACTTATTAATTTTGGTCATTTTAAGATCGATTTCGTTTCCAAGGATGCTATGATCAATAATACGCTATTTCAAATAGTTGAATACCAAAAGATGATGGTAGCTAATTTTATCACAGCTTCACTGATACCGAAAATAAGTTTTTGACAAACTATGCTTTACTTACTAACCGAAAATTAACTTGGGAAAGATTTTATTCATTTATTAATACAAACTTTTTAAATGAGACAATTATTTGTTATAACCAACTTACGTATGATGTGTACCGTATGGCAAACGTATATGTGCCTTGAAAGAAAAAGGAATTAAAAAGACAACCATAAAAAATCAATTGTATATATGTATATCTAATATTTTACGAAATTATAGTTTTATTAGGAAGTAAAAGCGAGTAAATCATATAATATTCAGGTAAATAAGATATAATAAAGGATGCACATCAAACGGTAACATGACCTGGTTGAACTTCATTCAGTGTGAAGATACGTTTAACTGAAAACGAGGACCACAATGAGAAACTATAACAGGCTTTTACATGAAGTCTATTCTAAAGTAAATCAAAAATTGTATCAAGTTTGACTTGCTAGACTTTTAGGGTACAATTTATATGAGTGTGAAATGTTAATAGATGATAATTTGACACAATTCTTTTCCCTTTTGAAGCATGAAGTCGTAAAATCATTGACTATTCACTCTTTTCACCCAACTCCTATGTCATTAAACAGTGCTTAATATGTAACATGGTACAACGAAATGCATAAAGCGACCGCGAATCACAAAGTTTAGTGTTTCGATATGACATAATTATCTGCATACGTGTATCAATTTGATGTGTCACGATTCACATAAGCATGTGTAGATAAAATTTCAAAAAAGAAACAGGAATATCATACTCAATAAACATCTAAACAAAAAAGTGAGTAAAATTGAGGGACTAAGAGTACATAACATCATTTTGAGTTTAACAGAACAGTGAAAAACAAATGTATAATTCCACAGTGATTCAATACTCTAAACTTGCTGAATCTTTACAATCTGATTATTGCCCTTATTCAAAAGTCATTCTTATCCTTTAAAATGATCATGTAACAGGTTTTTGTTCGAGTTTCACTAGAGGGTTTTACACTGTTACGTCGGTAAATGTTGACCAAGTAAACAGAACAAAATAATTTAATAGAAATTGATGGAGTCGTGGGTCGGACACATACTGAAAAAGTGTTCCAGGAAATTTTGAAGATTATGCCACTGATTACATGCTTTTTGTTGCTTATGGGTACGATGACTTCTAACAGTTGTCTTAAATCTCAACAGAGCACTCAGATCATCAATTCATAGTCCTCGGATTTCAACAGGTTGTATTCAATGTTCCATTGCTAATTTGGAAATTTTATGAAAATATGACTACCGCAATACCTTAAATAGGCTGGTGACTGTCAAAAACGTCTTATACTGACACTGAAAATGTGAAATGAACTTAGATATGTCCACAAAAAATACAACAATTTCATCTGATTTAATTCTCTTGTTCGATTCCACGACGAACTAATTTATGTAAATTATCATTACTTGAAAGGTACATTGTCAACTATTAATCAACCATTTTGTCCTAGTATGGAACTTCTGAGGAGTGTTCATCCACAACCCTATTGAAAATCGAACTCAGAACCTCCAAGTATCACAGCATCACCGAGCCGTTAGTTGCGTCGTGTGCGCCTCTTATGTACTTACTTACTTACGTCTGTTACCCGTCGTGGAGGAGCATAAGCCGACCACCAGCACTCTACATCCAACCCTGTTCTGGGCAATCCTATCTGGTTGCTATCGCGTATTGCTACCTGTATTCTTAAACATGTCTCGAATTTGGAAAGTTGTACATTTTTAGATTTTCTCACCTTTTTCCTTCCTTTTTTGTTGTAAAGGAAACTTGTTTAAATACCTTGTGTTGAGAGTTCTATATTGTACCAAAATATAATATTGAATAAGGCCATTAATAATAATAATAATAATAATAATAATAATAATAATAATAATAATAATAATAATCCATCCTTTTCATTTCTGCTTACAATTCTCGACGCAGTGTGTCCTTTGGCCTTCCTCTTTTGCGTTTCCTTCAGGATTTGTGATCCAGCCTGGTGATTTTCTCAATGTATGTCTTATCCACTAACTCCATCGTCTTTTCCTCATTATCTCCTGAGATAGATGGTTTGTTCTCTCCCACAGTTAGCTGTTGCTGATGGTTTCCCGTCAACGGACATTGAGTATTTTGCGTGGACAACTGTTTATAAATACCTGTACCTTTTTCATGATGGTTGTAGTAGTTCTCCATGTTTCAGCTCCGTATAGTAGAACTATTCGTGTTGAAGATCCTCACTTTGATATTGGTTGACAGTTGTTTTGAGTCCCATGTGTTCTTTACTTGTGGGAATGCGACCCTAGACTTGCCGATCCTCGCCTTTACGTCTGCATCCGATCCACCTTGTCCATAGATGATGCTGTATTGTATTTGAGAACCTTGCTTTTTACTTTGTGTGTACTAAGGTCTACTGATGCAGAGACCACCGGTGCTACGTTGTTTGTCTGAACCTGCGTTTGTTGATGTGTATGGGATAGAAGGCCAAGTCATTTGCGAAGTCTAAATCCTTCAATTGATTCCGAGCTGTCTATTGTATTCCGTGCCCCCAAATGCCCTGGTATGGTCGAGAGTGGAGAGGGCCCACCCTCCCTCTCGAAATGCTCGCACATGGCCACGCGAATACAGGCTCTGCCAGGGAAGTCCTACTCACTGCCTTCTCGTAGCGGGGGTGTTGGTTACGAAAATGAGAGGACGAAAAGCGAATGTCCGGCGCTTTAACCGGATTCTAAACCAATGGTGCACATGGGCTCCAGTACCCTGCGGGAACAAATGGAGAATGAACCAATTGTTGGCCACGGGCTACCACGGAACTACATCTTCTCACGATGCTCCACTACCTTGTGGGTCAGACCTTTAGGTCAAAGGCTCGGGGTGTGGCCTCCTAAGAAAGCCACCTGCTTCGGTCTGGGTACCCGGGCAGAATCACAGCCCACACACAAATAAAATGAAAATGACGATATTTACTGAAAATTCTATTGACGTTTCGATTAACAGCCAAACAATTCACATTATTATCATTATTTACCACGTCACTTATTCACTCTCTTTTATTCCTACTTTGTGTATCCCTATTTTTCAACGTATATAGCAGCTCGCCCATGGTGGAAACTCTTTCTACTGTGGCGCATATATATTTGGCGCTCGCTTGCATCAATATTTATATGTTCAAATAAAATAAAATCCCCTCAGATGCCGAGGTATTCATAGTCCAGTCGACTACCTGAAGAAAGAAGAAGAGGGAGAATAAGCAGCCGTGTTTGACTCCGGTCCATACTTGGAATGCATTTGTCAGCTGTCCTCTATGCACCACTTTGCACTGTAGTCCGTCGTATGAATTCCGTATGATGTTGACGAACTTCTCAAGTACACAATAGTGTCAAGGAAGTTTCCATAAGGTCCTCCTGTATACATTGTCAAACGCATTCTCATAATCAATGAAGTTGATGTATAGTTACGAGTTCCACTCAACTGATTGTTCAACGATGATCCGTAGTGTCGCGATTTGGTCTATGCACGACCGGTCTCTTATGTGGACAGATATAATTAGTATGTAGCAGGAACAGGGAGTGGAATATTTATCAGCAGGAGATTGAAATAAAGAGAACAGTAAACTAAATGGCAAGCGATTGGAATAACAACAGAATTAGAAAAATGATAGAGTATATAAAGAACAACTCGAAGAAGATATGCAAATGATGTATTTAATGTATAATTTTCAAATTTTATAAAGGCACTATATGATTTTACATAAAATAATAAGTTGATTTATTGTACCTCAGTTTTCGTTCACCACAGTTGTCTAAATAAGAATAATCCGTCATAAAAACTATGGAATTCAGTAATCTGCATAAACCTGTATTGTAAATTAATTAATCACTGAATCGAAAATATAAACAATTAAATTTAAAAATAACCAAATAGATAGATATAATAACTTTTAAGAAATATTCTGAGTGAATTCATAAACCACATACTTGACAAATTCGTATATTACTGTAATTTACAGCAGATTCATCTAATGATTTTTTCATTTTTCCTTGGAAACCGTGTACAATAGTGAGTGGTAGTGATCTATGAAGAAAAACAAAAAATTTCTAAAATTTATTTTGAGGAAAAACAATTAACACATGTAAAATAACATTTGAATAATAAATAAATCAAAAATAAGTTAATACTAAAATGTTCATCTATTTCAGTTGAATGACATTTTCAGTAACAAACAATTTCAATAGTGGAGATCATGAGTCAATTGACGCTGGACCGCCATGGAAAACCTGGAAGCACTGGACGACCGTTTCGTCCTATTGTGGGACTCTTCAGCAGAGCGAATCCACGATCCCGTCCCGCGAGATTCGAACGAAGGATCTATCGGTCCAGTGCACGAACGCTTAACCTCTAAACCACTGAGCTGGCATCCAACAGTGTTAATGTTTAACTCCAACTAATCCATGAAATTGAGCGACACATCCACCATTGTCATCAGTGACTTACTATTTCACAGCTGACCCGGTTGAAGTTAGACACTAACACCGTTGGATGCCGGCTCAGTGATCTAGTAGTTAGGTGCACGCGCGCGAGACCAGTAGGTCCTGGGTTCGAATCCCACGAGGCGGAGTCATGGGTGTGCAATGCTGAGGAGTCCCACAATAGGACGAAACGGTCGTCCAGTGCTTTCAGGTCTTCCATGGTGGTCTAGCTTCAATTGACTCATGATCTCAACTACTAAAATTACTAAAATCTCTACGAAACCCCTTCTGACACAAACAATTTCTTTAAAGATTAATCATATGAATACTACATTAGAACTGATGAAAATAAATGTAATATAAGTGTATAGGTACCTATCTCAAAAATGGAGATTGTTGAGCTTTGTATTGAGATCATGAATTCATAAATTTTAAACTAACATTTGAAACCAGAAAGCATTGGACAGCTGTTTTATCCTAGTATGGAACTCCTCAGAAGTTCGCATCCATGATTCTATACGCGGGACTCCAACTCAGGACCCTCGGTCTCGTGTGAATGCTTAATCTTTAGATCACTGTTCTGAAGGTTCATGATCTCAATACAAAATAATTATATGATAAAATGAAAATTAACTAATTAGTTGAATAAAATCGCTAACTTGATTATTGGAAGAAATATTAATAAATAAACTAAAATAAATAACAATTAAAACTTTGAATGTACATGATGATAATCACTACTTCAGTAGCATAGATCATGTAGAAATGTGTTTTAGGATATTCTAAATTATCACGAAATCTAATGTCTAAATTTTTTAAGGTAATGTAAATTCTGAAAAGTTAGTTTAGAAAAAAGCCTTGCTAATTTACTTAAATCATAGTATGTACTAACCTGAAGCGCTCAGGATATTGTTCCCTTAGCCATGGTATATCAAACATATAATTAAACTAGAAGTAATCAACGGAAAGAAAAAAATATTTGAAATTGTTATATCATATCAAAAATGCGAACTATGCGTAAGCTGAACGATAAAATAAGTGAAAAATGACAATAATTTATATCAGTAATTAATTATAATTAACGAGGTTTATGGAGATTCTTTTCGATAGCATAGCTAACATCACGGGAAGGTCTTAGTTAAACAACTACTGAAAACCAAACCTTATTGCGACTTAGTATGGGATTCCCCAGTGGTGCTAGTCCACAACCTCTCCATCAGGGATGAAATCTAGTGTGGTGCGTGCTACTTATATCGATGTAAGTAGTATATGACTCGAGTTATAAAACGTAATGTCTGGCAGCAGAAGATGGGAAAAGATCAAGAAAGGAAGAGCGACAACACAATGCAACAGGGACAGTTCAGGTTGATATGATGCATTGATATTTTGCAAATTAACGATTTACTATATGGTTTTTCTATTTTACCTCACCTGTGTTCTCCTTCACTACACTAGGACGTTCGGTCAAGCGAGAAAATGCCTAACCTTTAGGACACTGATTTAGTTCTTCAGTGGTTGTTTGACTAAGACTATTTCGCGAACATGACTATGAAAGAATAAACGATTAGTAAAAGTCAGTTAAGTGATTAAAAAGAAGCTTTGAGAAGATAAACTCAGTTGAAAGCATATTCATATTTGTTAGGAAAATTTTAACTTACTTGAATTGAAGATACAAGTTCATCATCAGAGGAATTAAGAATTTCTATAGAAATGGGAAACAAATACGGCAAATAAAAAAATTACGAACTACATAATTCTATATCATAACAACTAAAGACATTACTGGAGATAAGATACTATCAGGTAGGCATCCAATAGAAGGCTAATCTTTACCAGTTAATGTTCCCGATCCCTTGTAGGAAAGGAACTCAATACAACACAACCTCACCAAATAGCTGTTATCAGACCGAAAGACCAAGTATTAACAGCCAACACTAGTGGTTTAAATCACTTAGTGGGATACAACGATTACTGATATTTTTTATAAAATTAAGTCGATACTACTGTACTTGACAATGTGGTTAACATGGATTGCTTTCCACTCTTAATTTTTTTATATTAAACTTCAGAGACTAGGAAATTGTTAATTAAACTTCCATTCACTTTTTTAGTAGATCAGTGACTCGGTGATTAAAGCCTTCGACTTTCATTCATTAAGTTTCAGTTTCATGCCTCGTTCCACCTACTTCCGGTTGAGCTAACTGATGGTATCCCTAGCCTTCTAATTTAAAATGTGGTTTATCGACAAGTAAACAAGGTCACACCTGGTAAGCAAGTCAACAAGTAAGTATTCCCTTTTAACAAACATTCTTGAAGTGAAGTTTTATTGAAAACGCTTTGTTACACAAGACGACTTCAATACAAATTTGTAAAAAAAAGAATAACAATAAGACACGAAGTCAGTTAAGGAGAAATACTGATAGATCAGTACGAAATCAGTACCTCCCGCTATTAAGAAAATTGAGAATCGGTGATCATTAATGTAAATCCAGCGTACAGTGATAAACGAAATCAACGTAGGTGAGAGACTTTGAGGTGGGTTAATGACTGACAAATAAATTTCCCTATCAGTCAACAGTATTGTTGAGCCGAGTGCAGGCAGACTGATATATGTATCTAAGTGTTCAGAACATCAGACTCAACCACAAAATCGATGGTTTAAATTCATGTCTAACTGCTTCAGATTGAACAGCTTGAACTCATATGCTATATGCAACGAATGCATTGATATATAGTACCATATTTAGTCAACTAATTTTAGATGAGTTATTTGTACACAGCTTAATAGATATCTCAGAGATCTTGATACTAAACTTCGGTATTGAAAATCTTGACTAATAAACAAATATCATAGATAACACAAAAGACTCAGCTACATTCATGTGATGAACTATAACTAAGACGAAACGTATAGTGAATTACACTACTGTGTCATAAAATGTTAATAACTTACCCTTTAAGGTTATAGTAGGAATTCTACCGTACTTTACACCAGATACGCGAAAGAGATAAATGCCATAGAAATTTTCATTGGTTGATACGTCTTCTGAATCTTTGGTGCTGTTTGCGTTTGTAGTATGGTGCCCAACCAATACTTCATTATCTATAAAATGTATGGGTTAATACACCGATGAGTTCATTACCACAACGTAATAAACAAGCAAAACAGTTTCTTATTCAAACTGTTAAATAACTATGATAACACTAACAGAGCTGTATAACATAATCCAGAAATAACAATAGCTCATTTCATCACAACCTTTAATTAAGGTTGAAATTCAAAAATCCTATTATGTAACAAAACCTTATACATTGTGTTTAGCAAGATAAGTAGAAATTATTTTAAAACAACCAAGTCCCTGATCATTATTAAGAATTGTTACAAGTTGATTGAATGCAATTGTACTCTGTGACTACTTACCATATAAGAACGATTCAAACGAACTAGCTTGGTATTTGCAGCAGTGAAAAACTATTTTTTCTCACTGATCCATAAGAACTAAAATATTTAGGTAGCCAATTCATAGAAATACGGACAAAATAAAGGGGACGACGATTTTAACAAATTCATCTAAGAGACAATATACTAGATAATGTATGAAACGTAGATTTTAGCATGCGACTAAATGGTTAGAAATTGAGTAGTTAAATTACTAAATATCTGCACCTAAAATAACACTGTTCAGATTATTCGGAACAACATGATTTGAATTGATTTGTACGTATCCAATGTGAAGAAGTATAGACAGATGTTTACAGTTAATTTAAACGAAAGCCAAGCAAAATCATTAATGACCGGAAATCAGATTGCTCATAAACAGTCAGATCGAGTATCATAGCTAGTATAAATTAAATTGATAATCCCAAAGGTATTGGTCACAATCATTTTCTGTTCATATGTGGAAAACTAACCTGGATGATAAAATTCTTCAAAGTGTTGAGGATTTTTTCGATAACAAGTTCTCCCATACTTACAAGGTGGTCGATATAGTCCAACGTCCGAATTCGTCGACTGTTTTGTAGAAAAGCTCGTCTATAAATACAAAATAGTGCCAACCATGTTAAAAAACTGCTTTCCGAATAAACACTCAGTATGATGATAAATACTTTTGATGATAATGAAAATCAGATATTTATTTTATGTTGCCGACGCCTGATTATTTATATTTTCACTGTCGAACAGATTTCTCACATGTCACAAATTGCAATAAAGCGGACATCAGCCTCAAACAAGATTATACTCGGAACAGAAGGATGAGCATGATAGCAAGTCCAAAAGAAACAACTGTTCAGGTACCCCTGGTTTCTATTAGTTCTACAGCTATCAGCATGTGCTGAAAACTATTTGGAAATTTCGAAAAACCATTCAAATCACTAGTGTATCATATGCTATACATAAATTGTTAGCTAATCTCCATTTTATTATATTAGCTGAATAACTTAAGATCAATGTATTTGAATAAAAACACTATCCAATGTGTCAAGAAAGGTGAATCTGTTGTATTAAAACTTTAAGTCAATAGATGTACACCACTTATTAGATGAACATACTGAAAGCTTTCACAACTGTTCATAACATACCCTTTATCGAGTATTAATTCATTTCACGTATCAATCACATACGGAAATTACAACTGTGGACATAAACTCACTGCAAGACATTAATTCATGCTAAAATATTACATCAACTCCACCCAGTTTACTCTGTTAGTTAAAAAATATCAGACTACTTATTAAGTGTACCTAATAAATGTCCCAATTCGGGTTATCTATAATAATTTTACATTTTGATTTCGCTTAAGCTAACGTGGTGCTCTACAATGAACGTAAATCTTATCCCAGTTTATCATAAAAACAAAAGTGATGCCCTTCAGATTCGATTACTATGGGTTGACCGCAGAGTATGGCATAGTCCTTTTATGAGTGGTAAAGTTTTATCTAGGTCACCAGCGAAAACACGGTAATGTTTGGAACACTTTGTATAGATGTAAGAGACATGATCCACCTGTTTTACTGCTTAGAATTGTTGGGCTTTTATAAATTACAATGAGACACTTTGAAATTCCCAGTTTTAAATCAACAATGGAAATAAAGGGAATAGGCAAATTTTTCAAAACTTATTGAACACATGATTTTTGACAAAAGTGTACTGGTTTGGCTTGTCATACATTGGTGAAACGTTTAATTCCCAGGTAGTGTCCAAAATCGAAACTTCTCTTTTCACAATGATGAAGTAAATTGTTTGCTACCCGCTTCGGTTTGTGTATTTTCATGGTGTCAGTAGAGATTGCTCTGGTGATTTATGTATCCCAACCGTGTTACTTATAAGTAGCTACTAATTTCTTGCACAATTTTCCGGCTGGCAGTTGCTTATGAAAGGTGATCATTATTTCTCAGGCTATATTGAACTAGCCACTGTATTCTTTAACTGTGTTGACAGCTATTACTTGTTTTATCCCTTTGAGTGTAAGTCCGTATCGTATCATGGATATGAATACATAATATACACACAAAATTTTAAGTACTTTGTCTAGGTATTTGAAAGATTAACTAACGTGACAAGTGATGTTCACAAAATATTTCACAATGCAATAGTGATCAACGTTTACGAGAGAATGAATAAAATGGTGTGGGACAGATTATAATAAAGTTCTAAAACGGAATGCCGATTAAGATCGCTATTAGCCCGAATTATGTGCGATGTAACAGATAATGTGAATGTATAGTAATCAGTTCTGCTGGAACCCATTAATGAGAGAATTAGATGTATACATAAAATCAGGCTTTCATCGGTTCGAAAAACCAATAAATTGAATGTTAAACAAACAGCCAGGAGAACTACTCGATATAAATATCAACTGAATCACTGAGACTTCATAAAAAGGTCACAATACAATCCTACATTATCACTAACGTTTTTAATAGGGACAATCACTTCATACATGAAACTTTGGTTAGGATTAAACTTAATTAATACTGAATAGAAAATAATATACTATACAAAAATTTTATTATGGGTGAATGTAAACATTAATTTAAGGGAAAATAAGAAGAAATGAACATGTAAACAACAAGAAGGGCTATCTATGTACGTTTAACCATTAACTGTAAAATACACCAAAATGAACGCAAATACAAAGATTTCAGTAGGAAATAAATAAGATAATTAACATATAATTATAAACTAAATTCATAAATCTTGAAATCCTATCCGTTTAACTTTTGATGCCTTTTATTTATGACCATGAAAAAAAATCTGATGTACAAAATTACGCAATATAGATACAGATATAATTGGTAAAAACAAGTTATTATTGCAAAATATCGTCTCTGAATTTTAGAATTAATGTTTAGACATCTTCCATGTCGTCATCATCTTCATCTTCATCATCACCATGATCTTCAATAATCTCGTCAGGATCCACTAGTTCATCATTTGTATCATCACTATGAGCCATGGGATGCTCATTGTTGACGCCGATTACGGAAGAAGCCATTTCACGGCTATCACTAATTAGAGTTCTGATCAAGGTTGACGAACCCATGCGAGAAGCTCCATCACTTCTAAACTGACGGTTTAAAATGCTAGAGACTCCGGAAGATGGAGTATGCTGTCGATGGCGTAAAAGTCCGCCTGGACCACCTGGTACAACATAACCACGAGATGCGGCTGCACGAGCATAATGCTGAGTATCACCAGGCACAAATCCACTATTAGAAACAGATCCAGAAATATGACCACCGTCTTCATCGTCTGGACTTCGATTTAAATAGAGTTGCCGTAAACCACCTTCATTTACATTTGTATTCGCTGTATCGAACAAGCTAGTATAATGAGAGTTGGTATCGAGTGGTGATCGCTGACTACTACGTAAAGAGTGATCTAACTGTTGATGCACGTTAACTGGCCCTCCATGACCACCGGATCCCATAGAGTCACCACCTTCATCAGTATGACCGGCTGCAGCCGCAGCAGCTAATCTGGCTTCAACGAATAACCTTCTTTGTTGATGAAGCGCCTCAAAGTCAGGTACAATGGCCTGACGTCGTTCGTAAATGGCTAGGAAGAAAACAAAAAAGAATTGTAACAAATATCTTACGATGTTGTATAATATTTCAGAATTCGCATAAAGTATTTTGAAGCATTTGTACTCCGTAAAGAGTAAGTAGCACATAAAAAGTATACTCCAGCAAACGGAGTTTACTAGTGTTTAGTGTATTATTATTATTATTATTATTATTATTATTATTATTATTATTATTATTATTATTATTATTAGCTTTATTCAATATTATAATTTTGGTACAATATAGAATTCTCAGCGCAAAGTATTTCAACAAGTTTCCGTTTCTTTCTTCTTGGTCGGTCCTGGCGATAAATATTGAGGGATCGCCAGTTAGATGTTAGCACTTCAGTGAATGAACAACTGAATAATGTACATTCTTTTCGTTGTATATTGCCAGCAACCATATTGTCTCTTATTGAGTTTTCTGTAATTTTGACAACGAAAGGTTGTACACTTTTCAGAAACGCAGCAGAATAGGTTATGCGATTAATAAACATAATGATATATTAAAACAAACAACAATAGATAACTTGTTGAAATATCTAGATGGCAGGAACAGGTAGCCCAGATGCTCAAGCAGGCCGCCCAAGACAACCGGCGATGAATTAATAATGATAACTTAGGAATTAGCTAGTAAAGAATACCAGCAAAAGAGTCAATTAAAGGATAATATTTCGTGAGAAAAAAGGGTATTTTTTTATTATGGGATAAAAGTAATGCATCTTCTGAGCTTTCATTTCGTTTATTACGTAGGGCTACTGCAACTTGAACCAACATACTAGGTTCTACTTTACGTCTGACTGACTATTAAGTACGTTATATGGATTCTGTAGTGAGTGCTTCAGAGAACCTATCACAGTACATCAATAATCCTACTACATGATATAGTGGGAAAATATCACATTAGCTATGCGACCCACTAGTTTGTGATAAAATATTAGATTGGATTAACCAACTTTATAAGCTTTAACTTCTTATATCTTAAAAGTATATGGATAACAGATAAAACAAAGACATTGAACATATTTGAGTAACCGTCACAATACAATCAAAATCAGATGGTTGTAAAATCCTTTAATTGTCTAAAAAAGTTATGAAGGCATATATATGACTCATTAAACGCCATACTTCGAACCTTTCATAATATATGCATTATATTTATTTAAAGAATATAATTTGACGATAGTAATGTTTTACGACATTGAATAAATGAATATTTTTGTTTTTAAAATATGAATGCCCCATCCCTCAGTTTGGTGGTTAGAGCAAAACACTTATGAAGAATAGAAAGGACTACTTACCCTCTACATAAAATCTTAGAGATGGTGGTACTAACTCTAAGCATTGATTATACTCCTCTTGTGTACAATGAATAGTACCTAGGCGAAGCATTAAACCCATGCGTTTTAAGGTATCAACTTCATCACGTATCTCGTAGGCTTGATCGAAATTAAATAAATATTCCAACCTAAGAAAAAATTAACATAAACCTGTTCACACGAAAGTGATATAGCTTTCAATAAAGAATATATTTACTAAATATCTCTAAATACTTGAGAAACACGACACAAATTAGCCACTTTGGTTACATGAATTATGTACTGTGTAGGACAATTGTTTATAGCAGGCTTTAGAATAAGTTTGCAACAGATGTGGCTTAATCATCAAAACACTGAATTTTCAGCTACTATGTTGTAAACTCCCACCTGCCTTCTGCAACTTTGATGTTAGTTTCCAAGAGGTATAGCACAAATAGTATGGCTTTAATTTGGATACATGATTCCGTACTTGGTTGTTAAGTTATATTAAAATATTAGTTTAAATTACAGATGAAAATCTGATAATAGGTAGGGAAAAAACGGGTTACGACATAATTCAGATTAACGTCTAACAAATAACAGTGTACTAGAAAACTGAGATTTTATCAGAAATCTAATCAAGTGTAAGATATTAAAGTCAAGATGGTGATTGGGTTGATGAGGTTGTGAATATTCATCAACTGGATTATATAGAACTTGTGCTATTCTTTCCTAACCACATCCCACCTAGGCGAAAAACAGTAAAGGTTCGAGAACAGCAGGGGCAGACAAAGTAGGAATTGGTATACACATATGAAATCAAAGGGTAGTGGTTTGAACCGTGCTAAGAAAAGTAAATTTGGTGATCGAGGTCCACCTAAAGATCTTCCCCACTTGTTGGGGTGGCTTGAGATTGGTTACGATGGAGTACATATTGTTTTGTATTTCTGTGGCTCTTCAGTTTAAATATTGTTCTGCATGTTTTCTTACTTGAATTATATTCCGTGTTTACCACTGACGGTATTGTTTTTTTCCGACGATCACGTTGCGAAAAAAGAGATCAATGGGATAACACCTAGTGAATACGATTAGAAATAAAAGCAACACTCCTGAACCACAAAATCTTATTTCGAAAATGATATGGTGGGCTAGAATTAGGTTTAACAGTTAGGCCTTTATACGTTGGAGAATGATCGAATTACAAAATTGATTTTGTCGAATCATCTATAACATCTAACCGTTTTTGTGTTAACATCTTACATATAAGTATGTTATTTTATTAGATGAAAAACCTACTCTCCTGGCTAGTAACTTTGTTTTTGATCTTCAATCACTCAGAGGCATACGTTAATAATGCGATGTTGTAAGCAGCCACAACTCCGTCACATCGTATCACTGCAAATCATCTGTAAACCAGCAATCTTCTCCCTCAATTTAACAGCCGAGAATTCGATCATCGAACCACTAAATCCTGCTTCATAACAGAAACTGAACACTAACTTTATGGTACATCAAAATTTACTATGTTCTTATAAGCAATCTTTCTTTTATATACTACCACCTCTGAATTAACTACCCCTATGAATCCGGTGTTCATCTTGCTGTGCTAATGAGGTATGGCAACTTGGACCGATGCATATATGTGCCTGGTCTTACGTTGTAGCTGACTGAGTAAATCAAAATACTGTCTCGTCAATTCTTTCTTTTTTCGTCATAGCCTTCCCAGTGACATTCTAATGTAAACGATGGAACTTAATCAATAAACTTATCGTAAGATCATATTTTATTTTCGTTTATGTGCTATACAATCAGTAGCAATTGAACAGAAACTTATAGTTAAGCTTGTAACCTAGTGTAAAACTAGCAATCATATTCACAGAAATGGAGGATCATATTGGTAACTTGAGTCAGAAAAAGGAGGGAATTATTAAAAGGTGTTAATCCAATGATATTCTTACATTAAAAAGCTGTCTCAGAGATTATGCATTCTATATTCAGTTAATGTTTAAATTAGATAAACGAATTGTAGACAGATTCAACTTACTTATCAGTAGATATATTGCAGTCAATAACAGTTTTCCTGTGAGTGGATATCACCAAAAATGGTAAAGGAATCTTTTCATTACGAATTTTCGAAGTACCATTAGATGTCATTTTATCTGAATCAGTATCGATGTTACGTGATCCACCACAAGTGTTAGATTCTGAAACCATACCATTACGTCTACAACGGTCATTGATTTTATTGCGCATTACAAGGTTTTTAAAAGCAATCAATTGCATGATGAGATCTTGTATTTCAACAGTCTGAAAAAACAATTGATAACGGAAAACCAAGTTTACTTACGAATAAAATTTTTGGAAAAATTTCAAATCTTTCTTTGAAGTAGTAGGTTGTTTGAGCAAAAAAACACTAACAAATTTTAGGTGGAAGCCATGATATGTAACAACAGGTATGGTACAAGACAAGTTAAATTAGCTACCCTAGTAAAATGACACTATTGGAGATGTGATGAGATAGCCTAAAAACGTCTTTTTAAGCCACTTGAATAGGGATTTGAAAAATCCCTTCACTTAAC